TGTTTACTATTTTTTGAGCACACAGGTTACAAATGATCTTATCTCCATAGGCACGCCGTGCGAGAACTGTTTTATAGTTCTCAACAGCTACCACATGTTTAACGTTGAGCTGGCGCACATGTTTCACCTCTTAACTTTGTCTCTTGAATTTCATGATGTCATCGATAAACTGTTTGCGTTTAACGAATTATTTTGTGATATAGTGGACAGACGTGCACCCATCAAAAAGAATACGTGGAAGACCACTCCCTTATGTGACAGATGAGATTAGGCAATTCATGAAAGCAAGAGAAGACTGGAGAAAAATATCACGAAAGACCAACCATCCTTATGCCTGGTCTGCATATAAAAATCTTAAACGCGAGGTTAAATCAGAGTTGCGGAAAGAGAATTTGTGATGGAGCAGATTAAAAACAATAAAAACAACACGAACTCTATCTGGAAAACAATCCGAGGTGCCGAATAATAATAGGCCCATTTCTCTTCTGCCAGTGCTGTCAGAGGTTTGTGAGAGAGCAGCCTTTAATCAATTCACTATCTAGTCTTAAAAGAGCGTTTAACATCAAAGCAAAGTGGGAATAAACAACACCACTCAACCGAGACTACACTGATTCACACCACCGATCAAATACTGCGTGCTATTGACGACAAGTAATTAACTGCGACAGTCCTCCTTGATATGAGCAAGGTCTTTGATAGCTTACACCACGGCACTCTTCTGGCTAAACTCCAGGATGTCGGTGCATCTACAACTACTTTACAGTGGTTCCGGAGTTATTTGTCAGCACGTCACCAAGTTGTACGCATCAACTCTACTCTGTCAGATCGCATGCAAGTAAGAAATGGCGTACCTCAAGGAAGTATACTCGGCCCACTTTTGTTCAGCATTTACGTGAATGACTTGCCGTCAATCCCACAGTTCTGCTCCCCACAATGCTATGTTGATGACACCAACCTTCTGTTAGTCTTTGGCACTCTACGGGGAGAGAGGGATCAGAGATAAAGTAAATCAAGATCTGCTTGAAATACGGAACTGGTGCTTTAATAACCAGCTACTTTTGAACCCAGACAAGACGAAACTAATGATATTTGGACAAAACATTGCAAAGGTGAATGATGATTTTAAACTTTCCCTTTTCGGGAAAGATCTTGTACCTGCAACAACCGCTAAAGACCTCGGTGTAATTATGGATCCAAACTTAACTTTCGGAAATCATATTCTAGAAACAGTTTCTTCCTGCATGTCACGTTTACAGATCAATAAAGTTAAGCACTCTTTTGACAAAGAGTCCTTAATTATTATGATAAACTCACTTGTTTTCAGTAAATTATTTTATTGCTCATGCGTTTGGAGTAATACTTCTAAAACAAATTTTAAAATGTTACAGACAGTCCAGAATTTTGCCTGCCGCATAGTAAGTGGAAGAAGAAAATACGATCAAGTGTCTCCAACTTTAAAGGAACTACGCTGGCTGCCAGTGAAGGAGCATCTTTACTACCGTGATGCCGTAATGTCATTTAAGTGTCTAACTGGTTGTGTTCCTGGATATTTATCTACACAATTCATTAGACGATGTGATGTCACAAATCGTAGAACGCGAAGTTCTCAAATGCTTAACATACCTCGCTTTAGAACAGCAAGTGGCCAAAGGACTTTTTTCTATAGAGCAGTTACTTTATGGAATTCGTTATCTAACGATCTTAAACTTTGTGAATCGGTTAATGTGTTTAAACGCCGCCTAAGGTGTCGCCTCTTAAGTAATCTTAGCACTTCCGCTATTTAAGTCATTGCTCTATTTTAAGTCTGATACATAATTTTTAGCTTAATTGTATAATTAATTTTTACCTTAATTGTATTGCCTCTGAAAATCCTCTTTGGGGAAGTGGTAATAAAGTAGGTATGTATGTATATTGAAGAAGGACTTGACTAACGTACGAAAGTAAGCGTTCCACGTTTGTCCAGAACAGAGGATCTTCTTTCTTCTTTAAGCAATCCTATTGTTCGATTTGTTCTCTCTAGTGTGGTGGTCATCACGTCCAATTCATACTCAGAAGTCTGTATAGGGGTTTTGCACAGCAGCCATGTTGGATGGCAGGAACAATAGATTATTTTACCCATGGGAAATAATTTTCTTTCTTAAGCAAATTATTTTCATTGTTCCTGCCATCCAACATGGCTGCTGTGCAAAACCTCTATTGGCAAAAACATTAATATCTGCAGTAAAACCCAAGAAATTTGAGCACAAAGTGTTGAATTCAGCCTAGTCTGGAAGAGACTAGAGCACCCCATATTCAAAATGGTGAGATGGACAAAGCTGGGCGAGCGTGATGAAGGAAATCATGATCAAATGTCCTCAGCCCTCGATATAAATTACTGAAAAATAAATGTCGATCTCCAGCTCAACGGGGAGGGATTGTCAAGTTTTTCTCTTCTGACAACGATCGGCCGCACAGGGAGCAAGTGATGTAACTTCGGATCCTCGTACCAGAGTCTCTCTCTCAAGTTGTTTGCAAATCTCGCCGATGACTTTTTCCTTTTTCTTTATTTTCATTTTTAGTGAGTTCGTGCTAGTTCCGTAGCTCAATAGGTAAAGCGTGGTGCTGGTAACGCCATGGTCGTGAGTGTATCAATAGGCATTGTTTAGTAGTAGCCTCGTTTGAGTGTTCAAAGTGAAGGGACGGATGTTTGTAATAACGAGGCAGTTGGTTTAACACTTGATGGGAGACACTAAAACGATTCTTTCGCAACTAAACATGGTGTCAGGAGTGAGTGCGGGATAGATAGAAACTGTTCGATAGAAACCTACAATGCCGACGGACGGACAACAGGCAAGTGCAAATGCGAGCGCGACTGAGAGGATTGCACAGCTTAAACCTCCGGGTTCTGTCCTGGTGTACCGGTTCACAAGGGAATTACCATTGTTCTTTCTTTGTTTAGGAGTTATTGGTTAGCTATTGTGTATTGTTTGGTCTTTTGTATTGGATCTTGTGAACCGGTACACGAGGACAGAACCAACCTCCGGCTCAGCTAGACTTTGATGCGACAAACTTGGCTGACAGTTGGAAAAGATGGAAGCAAGAATTAAAATTGTACATGGATCTGGCAATCAACGGCAATCAACGGCTTTATTTAAGCGGGAGTCAAGGAAGAGAAATTTATGACACGATGGCCTTCGAAATTCCTGCGTCGGAAAGAACCTTAACGCAGGTGTTAGAAACGTTCGAAGGGCATTGTAATCCCAGAAAGAATGAAACTGTGGAACGGTTGAAGTTTTTCTCCCGCACCCAGGACCCGGGTGAATCACAAGAGAAGTTCGTTACAGATTTGAAGCTGTTGGCGACGACGTGTAACTTCGGTGATCTTAAAGATTCGTTGGTGAGAGACCGGATCATTTGTGGAATCCAGGACCGGCAACTTCGAGAAGAACTGCTTAAGATCCCAGATCTTGATTTACAAAGATGCCTCAGCATTTGTAGAGCAGCCGAGTTGTCGAAAATACGTACTAAAACTTTGGAAGAGGGCGAAGCAGTAGCCTCATTAAAGGACCAAACGAAGCGCAGCAAGGTGTCAGCTAACAAAAGCCATGACAAGTCTGCTAACAAGAGGCGCGAAAATGACGATCGGAACGCGAGAGATTCCAGTCCTAAAGAATTACTAAGATGCAAATTTTTTGGCGGAAAACATCGGGGCTGCCAATAAAAATTGCCCAGCGTTCCGGAAGAGGTATTCGGCTTGCGGAAGAATGAATCATTTCAGTTCTCAATGCCTTTCTAAAACGAGAGTAAACGTCGTCGAATCAGAGAGTGAAAGCGAGCTCGACGAATACTGCCTCACGCTGCACTCGGTGGATGAAAGTCAAGTAGTTAGGGTTCATGTAGCAAGTGATCTGGAATATGCTAAAAAATTGTTTGCTGCAATTAACGTCGGAAACACACCAGTTAAGTTTCAACTGGATGGTGGCTCGACATGCAATTTGATTCCAGAAAAGTTCCTTAGAACTGAAGTCCAACTGTTTCCCACGCGGAAATTACTCACAATGTACAACAACACAATTATGAATAAATTTGAATATATCAACAAAGTTGAAACGGTAAATTGGCCACCGTTATGATTATAAAAGCTGACGTTTCGAGCGTTAGCCCTTCCTCGGAGCGAATAGGGGAATTGTGGGTTGGGGGTTGCATTTAAAAGCAGAAAAAGGAGCTACGTGATTGGTGGGAACATGGCAACGAGAAAAACACGAATAAATTAGTGGAGTGAAAAGCGTCCGTTGATACCTGTGGGATTTAGACTGCCGGTATGAAGTTTCAAACTTCCTTTGTTTGAAGTGTTTGATGAGGGGAGGGACGAGTGTTATTTTCAACTTTTGACCTGTTTTTGATGTGTATCTTATCCTATACGGAATAAAACATATCTAAACTTGACAAATCAACAAAATACTATTGTCTTTGGTTACGATGAATATATGAAGTTCACATATTTGAAACTGCGGTTATAGATACGTATGATGCGCGATCCTCGCAGTAGAGAGCGCTATTTACGGGATTCGAACCACTGACCTACTACTACTCTCTACTGCGAAGATCGTGCATCATACGCATCTATAACCGCAGTTCAAATATGTGAACTTCATATATTCATCGTAACTGATTTATCATCACAGGCCATTATTACGAATCAACTTGACGGCCTACTCCCAGTTGGCTTGTTCGCTCAATTGGTAGACCGCTGCACTAGTATCGCAGAGGTCAGTGGTTCAAATCCCTTACAGGCCTGATTTACCATTTCAACTTTGTTGATATATTCAGATTATTTCGTTACCCCCACCGACGCAGCCCCAAACAGTTTCTTTAGAAACTATCAGCCTTTATTCACAATTATGAAACCCCTTGGAACGTCCGCTGTAGCAGTATAAAACCCCAAGAATTCTAAATCGTATCAGATCGAATTTGTTGTTGTGGACGATGATCAGTCAACACCAAATTTAGGAAATCCAACGATGCAGCAGATGGATTTGGTCAGGGTGCAACACCAAAATGTTATGACCCTCAATACTGGGGTTAAGCGCGATAATCAGAGTCCCCTTTCGATGGAAGAAGTTTTAAAGGAGTACCCAGATGTGTTTCAAGGCACCGGAAAATTGAAGGGGCGGTACAAGCTGGAAATTGAAGAGAACAATAATTCAACATTTATATAGCGCAAACTACTATATAGATAATCAGTCGCGCTTTACAATCAGTTAAGGTGAGATCGGACGTCAGAATTCATCAGGCGCAATATGCAGCCACTTCAGTCCATGTATTGATCTCACCTTCCCTCCCCAATTCACCGTAGATTAGACACTACACTATTTATCGTCCCTATACGACAAGACTAGAAAGTCTAACCATTTGCAGATATTATTACAAAGACAGCACTTTCTTCTCAGTTATTTAAATACCCTGAGTGTTGGTCCGGCCGGAGTCCAACTCTCGACCTCCCGCACAACAGTCCAGCGCTATACCAATTGAGCTAACCGGGAAGCGGTTAGAATGCTAAGCCAGTGGTCCATCCTCCCAGAAGAGTACCTGTCGCCTTCAAGGGAAAGCTGAAACGAGAGTTGGAATGGTTGCAGAGTCTTGGGATCATAGAAAAAGTCATAGAGCCTACCCCTTGGGTTTGGAGCCTCGTTATCGTGTAAAAACCTAAGGGACAGATTCGTGTTTGCCTGGACCCTAAGGACCTCAACAAAGTCCTTAGGAGGAGCCACTACCCAACCCCGACAGTTGGAGATATTCTACCTGAGCTTACCAGGGCTAAAGTGTTCTCCACTTTGGACGCAAAGAACGGTTTCTGGCAAATTGAACTTGACGATGACAGTTCACGCTTAAAAACGTTCAATTCTTCCTTTGGAAGATTTTGCTGGTGTCGCCTGCCCTTTGGTCTTTGTTCAGCCCCCGAGGAGTTCCAACGAAGGCTTAACCACGCACTTAACGGCCTGACGGGTGTATTAACAATTCATGATGATATCTTGATTTTTGGCGAGGGGTCTACAGTAGAAGAAGCACTGACAGATCATGACAACAATTTCCACTCCTTAGTGCAGAGGTGCCGGGAGCAGAACATTGAGTTGAACCAGGATAAGGTGAATCTGCGACGCAAAGAAGTCCCATTTATGGGTCATGTGATTTCAGAGAGGGGTCTCCAAGCAGATCCCGAAAAAATTAAGGCAGTGTTGGAAATGCCCACGCCAACTGATGTGGCCAGTGTTCGAAGGTTTATTGGATTCACAAATTATCTTAGCAAGTTTTTTCCTCGATTAAGTGATGCATTGGAGCCCTTCCGTAAGCTCTTTTCACCAGATGCAGAATGGTTCTGGACTGACATACATGACAGTACTGTCCGACAAGTGAAGCTGTTGGTCACAAAGGCACCTGTCCTAAAATTTTTCGACTCAACAGAGCCTCCCCTTACAGTGCGATGCATCAGATAAAGGACTGGGTGCCATCCTACTTCAGAAGGGTCAGCCTGTTGCCTATGCGAGCCGTGCGTTAACCGATGCAGAGTCTCGGTACGCCCAGATTGAGAAGGAACTTTTGGCGGTCGTTTACGGTTTGGAAAGGTTTCATACTTACACTTACGGTAGAGAAGTGTTCGTAGAATCAGACCACAAGCCTCTGGAAGTTATTTTCAAGAAGTCACTGCATCGAGCTCCGAAGAGGCTTCAGCGCATGCTCATGGGAGTTCAGTTGTACAACGTCAGCCTTGCCTACAAGAAGGGCTCAACCATGTATCTGGCCGACACCCTAAGTCGGGCTTATTTGCCCTACGATGGAAGCCAGGGTATCGCTTCAGAGGTTGAGAGCATCAACATGACGCAGCACATCCGTTTGAAGCCGAGTACGCTTCAAGAAGTTAAAGACCACACGCAGAAGGATGATGGCCTTCTAGAACTGATTAAAGTCATCAAGGCTGGTTGGCCTGAAACTAAGGGAGAGTTGTCTCATCTGGTGTTGCCCTTCTTTGACGTTCGAGATGAGTTGAGCGTCTGCGATGGTATTGTTATTAGAGGAGAAAGAGTGGTGGTCCCAAAGTCGCTGCGTCGAGACATGTTGTATCGTCTGCATTATGCTCATAGTGGAGTTGTAAGCACCCTTTTGCTCGCTACAGAAAGTGTACACTGGCCAGGAATGAGCGGTAAAATCAAGCAGTTTATTGAAATGTGTGATGTCTGCAGGGCATTTGACCGGAAGCAGCCCAAGGAGACTCTCATTCCTCATGAAGTTCCCGACCAGCCATGGGCGAAAATCGGAGTTCACTTGTTCACATACAGGGGTCGAAACTATCTCATTTGTGTTGACTACTATTCTTCGTTCGGGGAAATCGATTCCCTTCACAAAACTACTTCGGAAGCGGTAGTACAGAAGTTAAAGTCGCACTTTGCAAGGCACGGAATCCCGGAGACGCGTGTATCAGACAACGGTCCTCAGTTTACATCAACTGAATTTAAGGAATTTAGCCGCCAGTGGAACTTTGTGCATGTAACGAGTTCGACAGCTTATCCGCAAAGCAACGGAAAGGTAGAAGCGGCTGTTGACTCAGCTAAAAATGTTATTAGGAAGTCAAGAAAAGCCAGAACAGACCCATATCTCGCTCTCCAAGAATACAGAAACACGCCCAGTCAAGGGTTGGGCACCAGTCCAGTGCAGCGGTTGATGTCAAGGCGCACAAGAGCACAACTACCCATCATTCCTAAGCTTCTCAGGCCAGTTGTCCAGCCCAAGATCCATTAGTAGCTTCTCGCCAAGAAAGAACGACAAGTCCATGCTTATATTAGGGGGGCTAAGGATCTGGGAGCACTTAGAAGTGGAGATACAGTGCGACTCTTGCCGTCTGGAAATTCTAGTAAAGAAGCTGTGAAAGCAAAGGTTGAAAGGCGTGTTGGCACTCGGTCCTTCGAGGTGGCGACCGAAGATGGAGCCAGATATCGTCGAAATCGCCGTCACCTGAGGAAAACAAAGGAGGCCTGCCGAAGTTCAAGACCTGCTTTAGTGGCTGAAGAAGGCGTTGAGCAATCGGATCAACAGTCGATATCCTTACCCGAACACGCACAGACCGGTCATGAGCTCTCCGCGCCGTGTATGTGGACAACCGTACCCGGTTGTCAAGTAGACGCAACCATGGAGCATGCGATGGCATCTCGGCAACCGGAGCCACGTGTTCAGCCTTGTTGGTTGGTTACCTGTGAAAGGCCCAACAACGCGATCAGGCAGAGTTGTTAAGAAGCCAGCTTATTTAAGGGATTATGTTACTGGGATGTAACCAGTGTCGAAGCTTTATACGCTTCACAAACTTTGAACAGTTGAACTCACTTACGTTGTCTGTTAGTTTGTTTTTTTTTTATCCTGTTTCTCTTTGTTTTATTTATTTATTTTTATTTTATAAGGAAAAGGATGTAACAATAGGCATTGTTTAGTAGTAGACTCGTTTGAGTGTTCAAACTTAAGGGACGGACGTTTGTAATAACTAGGCAGTTGGTGTAACACTTGATGGGAGACATTAAACGATTCTTTCGTAACTAAATAGCGAGTTCGACCTTCACATGAACCAAAGAATACTTTTTCCTCCTCTACATATGCTTCTTTTTCAATATATTATTTCCCTTTTATGATATTCCATCACAGTGTACCTCGTCACTTAGATTTAGCTACCAAAATTCTCTTTCTGTATAGATAAACAATACCAAAAGAGGTCGCAGATGTTTTATTCCTCTAACCAAGAGTCTAATGAAAACCGGTGAGAATAAAAGTTGAAGAAAACTTATAATTGAGACTTCTACCAGCCTTTCTGAGCTGCTCATGAGTTCACTAACGTCGTCGGTCTAATCATTAAAAAATTAATCAATTAAGAGCTACTCCCCGGCGGGGAATCGAAACCCGGTCTCCCGCGTGACAGGCACAAATTTACCGGTAGTAAATAATTATGTGCTCAAATTAAGTTTTCTTTTAGCATTTTGGTCTATCTCTGACACAATAGCCTCTCAAAAAGAAAGGTTCTTTTAAAAATAACAGAATAACGATCTTTGGATTGATTTGATAAAATTTGAAACTAGAGTAGATTTTAAACCATAGACACAATTGCAAAACTTCAACTTTCTTTCTGGCAGGGCTCGAACCTGTGTCCTTCCGGGAGAAGGCGAATACGATAACCACTACACTACAGAAACCTTCACTGCAAACCATGAAAAAAATATATGTCATGACCTCCACGAAGCTTTGACAATCAGACTGAAACCTTATTAACAGTGCGAAGTCATAGACTACTACTCCTTCGCAATATGATTTCCCATCTGATCATTATCTAGTGGACTATTTTATTCGACTAAAATTCAAGCATTGAAAATCGGCGATGTCGTCTACGACTATTACCCTAACCTCTAACCCAAGTGCGTGTCCGATGACCGGTAGTTTTGAGAAAACATTAGCTCTCATTAGATCTTCTAATTAATTTTACTTATGTGCATCGTCTCCGTGGCGCAATCGGTCAGCGCGTTCGGCTGTTAACCGAAAGGTTGGTGGTTCAAGCCCACCCGGGGACGATTCATTTTGTGTTCAAAATTCTTAATCCTGGGCAGTACGTTTGATGGTTAATCACCTCGAAGGCGAACAAAAATTACTTGCGCTGGCCCTCAATTTTTTCTCCTTTTTCTTGTCTGACTTTGGTTGTCATGGTAAAATGCATGAAAAGCGTTACACGAATTTATTTTAATAGATCCTGTAGCAGATAAATGGGCTAATCCATTCCACTGTTCCTGCTGTAGTGTTGGCTGTCTACTCACTCAATCCACTTACTCGATTTTTTTCCAAGGTTTTCCCTAGCTAAATTCTAAAAAGTGTCGAAAATACGTCCGTATGCGCAGGTGCGCACAATGCTGGAAAGAACAAAAAAGAAAGCGTAATATTTAATGTATGTTTTTAGTGTAGTGCAAGTGGGCCGGAGACCGAAAATCCCAAGGAGCCCACAGGAGAATATGAACTGAGAGCAATTATTCCCTATACATACCACTCTCTCAATGATAATTTTCTTTAAATCTGATTTTATTGCGCTTTCCTGCCGCGCGCCTATTCGAGGACAACAACTGATTGGTTAGGGGTTCTTTGATTAAAGGTGATGTGTGATGTTTGGCAGCCTGTGGTTTGTTTTATATATGATAACGTGATGATATTATTTGGTCAAGAAGATAAAACACAAACTGAGTAAACGCTACCTTTCAGCGCTACTCTAGAAGCTTAAGTTTTCCTTTCCCAGTACTCCACAAGTTAGAGTGCGTGGAAGATGTTTAATGAGAGGGTTGGGCTGGAAGAACTGCATATCTTGCAATGGCTGATTCAGGTAGATTACCTCACGGGTTATCGATTAAGCGGCAACGACGCAACATAACTGACATAACACATTTTCCAGAATACAGAAACCGAACTGGCTTGATCTTGATGCCTCCTAAATTTTGAAAATCGAGCCGTTGATAGCTGATCTCTATGCTTGCGTAGCTATTTGACCAATTACCTCGACCCCCAACCGAGAGACTGACTCATCTAAAAATAGCGGATGACTGTTTACAAGGTTGCAAGAGCCGCTACGGTTTGAGAGAAAATGAAAACATTGATACTAATCGATGGGTAGCTCGTCTGAGCAACAATAAGGGCATTATTTTTATCGATTTACGAAACTGCGCCCGACAAATTTATAGAGCTTATTGTTTAAATGGTGTATCGAACATAGGAATATTTTGATTTCCTTAGTCGCATTGACTAGCTTCTTGATAAATTCGTTAAGCTTTATGGCTTATTACTTCTATGAATTGGTGGAAAGTTTGGTAGATGACTTTGTTTACATGAACTCCTGCCGTTTGCGCAAATTAAAAACCATCAAAACAATATGAGATGCTAAGCTAGCGAAAGGTACAGTTAGGCACGATTTTTTGTTAATTCATTTATGTGTGCCTCTAAAATAATGAAGGTGAGTACTTGAATGGTGGGGCAAACATATCTAAATTTGTGAGTGGTCCAATGGAGAGATTCTTGCTTTCTGATTTTGCTTTAAAATATTTTCTGTGAATCGAACATTTCTATACAGGTTTTCTCCGTCGCCATTTGAAATTGAACTGATTAATTGAATGTGATTTAAAAGAAATGTTGCAAAATTTAATCGCTAGTCTCAGCTCGAAGACAACAATACGCTTTTAAAAACAACAAAATTGCATTTATCCGCCTTATCAATCCTTAGATAGGTTTAATAAAGAGGAAACATGCGAGCTATAAAAAAAAAGTGTCAGCCTCGGTATCTACTTGGTAAACATTTCTTTTGAAGTTTACATAAGTCATGCATAATCTTCATTTTAAAAGGCAAGATTTTTAAGAAGGCTCGAAAGGGTTTTTTAGACCGCGCGGAGAATGTATTCCAAGATACACGCAAGCAAATTACTCGCGAAAGAAATAAGCGATGGCGCGCGCGATCAGATCCGTGGACGAGTTGTAAACAAACATGGCCGCCACGAGCGTTTCAAAATCGCCGGATACCTCTACTATTTTCAGTGGAAGTGGTTGTTTGAAAAACAAAAATGGAAAGTTTACTTCTCGAAAGCAGATAGGAAAATGTTTAGATCGCAGGACTCTTGCCGAAAGTGGTAACAAAAAGTTTATTTCACGAGCTAAAGGAGGACGGTGAAGTCGACACCCCCATCAGCAAAGTCGAGACGAAAGCGCTCGGTACGTCTTACTTTGTTCCGCATTGAATTACATTTGTTTCGCATTGAGTTTGATTCCTATATCAAATGAAAGAACATTTACAGTTATATGTATAGGTAATCGCATGAGGCCGAGTAAAATTAAGGATTAATATCACGCGTGTTTTCGGAAGTTACTAAAATTGCCAGAGTCGCGCAGCGACGAGGGCAATTTCTGCAACTTCCGAAAACACAAGTGATATTAATCCTTAATTTTACGAGGAACCATGTGATTACTTGTTTATAATATAAGGGGCAAAATGTTCTCTTACCGATCTCGCGCAAAACGGGACGCCATTGTTACAAAACAAACAGAAATTTCTTTACCTTAGCAGCCGTTGCTAAGCGATTTTCAGCCAATCATTTTCAAGTAATTTTGCCCGGGGCAATTATAAAAATTAAGAAAAAATTCCCTCTGTCTTGACCAATCACAATTCAGTAATTTTGCCCCTTATATGATAAGAAAGGAAATGGAGAAGTATAGATGCTGCCATAAAAATGACCATAATTTTCGAGTAAACAAGAGATAAAAAAAACGTGGATGAGACTTTAATTGTAATTCAACCAAAGACGGTAAAATTGAAATAAAATATTTATCTTAAACTTACGAGAAGGATTGTTGATATTTTCCTCGATAAACTGGAAATTACAACTAGGAAGAAGAATGCAAACTCGCATTTGTTGAAAAAAGATTGCAAAATTTTCCTTGTTCTTCATTTAAAACGGAATAATGGAAGTTCAAGGTTATGACAGTAGCAAAGAACGAAAAATAAAAATGAAGCCAAGGCTTGTTCATACCTCTAGTACCTCGAAAATTAGAAGTTCGCGAAATATGTGACCGAAAAATATGATGTATATGAAACCCTGTTATCCGCTACGTTTGACGCTCATGACAATCTGGAAGACGTGAAAGCAAATTCTTATCACTCCAAATTCTTTTCACCCCCCCACCTCAAATTGCACATGAACAATTATATCGGTCAATCATGGTAAATGTGCATCGCCGAATGAGGCCTTCTATCAAGCCAGCTTCTTGGAACAACGACAAGATACCATCCAGACGTTGGATAGAAAGCTTCACCTTTCGACAAACATGGTCCAGAGGCTGACAGGTGCTGGTTTGTCTCATGTTACACTACAATATCTCTGCACCAGAGACTCAACATTAACGGCCTCAATGGAGCACTGGCATTGGCGCCAAATGCAAAATCAACTTATCACTATAAATCGAATATTCCGCAAGAGAATTCTCTCCGGAATACTCTTACATTTCCAACAGTCGGTAAGCAGTCTGAGTCTCAAATGATGACTTATTTTTCAGGAATGTGTAAAATTACAAAACAATATGAATACATCTTAAGGACGAACGCTTTTTTCCTCGTAGAGGGCATTCATCGTTTAATCGCGCGGACACGGACTCGTCCCCGCGAAAATGAGCCTTTAAGTCAGCGGTATCGTTAAAAACGCGTGACCGGGTATAAAAGTGTGAGCTAAAATTGCAAAAACCGGAAATAAAGCTTGCTAAATTAATGAGCTAATATCTCGAAAATTAGTTTGGTGACCTACCCTGATTTTTTGTGCAAAGATAATATTTATCATTACACGTACGTTTGTGAAGAGAATTTTAAAAAAAATTATCTAGTGCAAATGTTTTCGCTCCGACGAAGGGCTAGCGCTTGAAACGTCAGCTTTTGTAATCGTTACGGTGGCCAATTTACCATTTCAACTTTGTTGATATATATAAATTTTGTTACATCTTGTAACAGCATTTTCTCAAATACCTCAAGTTCTACTATACAGTTTTTTTGTATCACGTGTACAGATAGACAATGTGATGACGTTTAAGAAATTTGAAAAAAAAATAGGTCACCAACTTGGTTTTTGAGATAGCATTAAAAAACCGATTTTTAGAGGGTCTTTTAGCACCACTGTTCTGTTGTCATGGCAACAGATAGAGCCTGACGAGCGCCCGTAAAAAATGTACCAAAATAGTTTTATACAGATATCAAAACATCACCCTCTTGATAGGTTTGAAAGTCCTGATATCTTTTATTATTTGGCACTTGCCGTTACTTACGGGTAACCCTTTCGAGCCTCCTTAAGAGAAGAATTAAAAGGATATAGGCAACATATGGAGAATCCGGGTATCGATCCCGGTACCACCTGCATGCGAAGCGGGCGCTCTACCTTTTGAGCTAATTCCCTGATATTTCGCTACTTAAGATTATATAGAGAAATGCATATGGTAGCATGCCCGGCTCCTGCCTCTCCGGAATAGGAGTATCCGGCCCTATTTCTATTTACCTTGCCTAGCATCAATAATTTTTATCTTGACAGATCAGTTTTACTCAGTGAATCTGAGAGGCGTAAAATGATAAAAAATGATTTTTCAGATAGTTTTGGTTTTGCAGACTTAAATTGTCTATTAGCTCAGTTGGCAATGTGGCGAGTGCGACCATCAACAAGAGACCTGGTAGGTCTTTGTCTGCCCAGTCGAATAAAGTCGTCGTTGTGATTTTTCTTGGATTAGAGAGGTTCAAGGTATTCGTTTTCGTTGGATAGACTTTCCTTCTTGTTGTAAATTTGTTGCGCACGACTCGATGGCCTGTGACCGACATCGAATGGTCTCGGTTATATGATGTATGGCTGCGGATAGGCTTTTGTACATTATGCTAGCGTTTTTTCGAGCATTTTAGCGAGGCAAAAGCATTGAGCATTATTCGAGCATTTTAGTGGCATTCTCCCGGAAAATTAATTTTTGCGAGAAAATAAAATAGAAATAATAATTAACTTTTTTTCAGTCCTGCTTTTAATTCACGAAAAAACCAAATACAGCTGAGTGGAGCTGGAGACTGAGGACAAGTCAGCGGTTTTACCTTTCGAGACTCAAAAGGCGGCCATGTTTGCCGCCTGTATACGTTGTCGTTACCTGCAACACTTGTACGTAAGTGTAAACTTTCAAATTAATTTAAAAAAACGTTTGTATAATGAGCATTATCCGAGCATTTTAGTTACTTTTTTGGGGGAGACCGAGTATTTTAGTGGGAAAAATGGAGCATTAAAGTGGAGCATTTTAGTGGGGAAACAAAAGCATAGTGTACAAAAGCCTAGCCGCGGAGTCATTTTTCAGTATGGGTCGGTTTCCTGTAAACTGTTGTCCGCAGGGAATAAAAGCTCGAAATGCTAATCAAAAGTACATCTAGAGTTACAGAGGTAAACCATGCGATGAACTGGTTGCAGAATTATTTGAAATCGGTGAGTGCCCACTTTCCATAGGGATGGTATCAGGATCGATGCCCGTATTCTCCATTTAAAGATTTTAGGTATTTTACAATGGGATATTGCGCTTAGTCACCATTAATGTACCCTACAAATCAGAATCAGCCGAACAATACTGGCCTGACGTAGGGAGTCCAGGCCTCGATCCTAGTACCTCATGGAGGGTGTTCTTTAGCTTTGGATATTAACCATTGCAAGAAGATTTCAATCTCGGCTCCTTGGTGGGGAAAGAAGAAAGTTGAAAGGCACAAAATTACTGCTAACAGAAATGTTGAGCGAGAGTATGCAAGGTCCGTTAGCTCAGTCGGCAGAGCATGGTGCTGATAACGCCAAGGTCATGAGTTCAACCCTCACACGGACCAAAGAGTCTAGCCACGTTTCTCTTTCAAACTATTATTTTCCAACATGTTAAGAAATTACATCCCAATGCACTTTATCAGAAGCCTTGACTACCAAATTTCTCATCTTGCACGATAAAATAATACCGACAAAGGGTCGTTGGAGTTTCATAATTCTTCTGAAAAAGTGTTTATAAACAAAGGTAAGAGAAAACTAATTGTGTACGTTCACAACTTGTAAAAATCAATGACATCCGAAATTTCGAAGAGATAAACCATACGCCCCTATCAAACTTCACAGAAGGTATAAAGGAAGGCAAAAGGTTCATTTATTCTCCCAACTGGTAAGTATACCAGCCTTGTGAAGTTACTCATGAGGTGACTAACTTCGTCGCCCTGATCCACCCGAAATGCATCGAAGTTCATTTCAAACACTTTTGAACTTGAAGATTCCTACACACACTTGGGAATTTGTTGTGGCATACAATATCAGATGCTCATTTTTGGTCAAGAAAATTTCTTGGAAAAATCTTGGAGAATAGGATACACCAGAAACCATATAATTTCTATATACCCCCTATGGAAATAAATCGGGGAAATTATCGGGAAGTATCGGGGAATTAGCTCAAATGGTAGAGCGCCCGCTTTGCATGCGGGAGGTACCGGGATCGATACCCGGATTCTCCATATGTTGCCCAAAACCTTTTCTTTATTCTCTTAAATATGCATCGCTTATGTGCACTTTGGAGGAAATGTTTACCAAGAAGATACCGAGGCTCACACTTTTTTATAGCTTTCACGTTTCTTCTCTTAATTAACTTGTCCAAGGATTGATAAGGAGGATAAACATCATTTATATATTACGTATTTTTGTCTTCGAACTCAGACTAGTGATTAAATTTTGCAACATTTCTTTTAAATCGTATTCAATAAATCAGTTAAATTTTCAATGGCGACGGTGAACACCTGTATAGAAACGTTCGATTCACAAGAAATATTTCAAAGCAAAATTACAGCTCTGGCAAGGAAAGAAAATTGCGACGAGTGCGCACCAAGCAACAACTTAAAAGGTTTACACCAACGTAATCGGAAATTGATTAAAACTGAATGTGATTTAAAACAAACTTTGAAAAATTTCATCAGTGCTCAGGATGGGAAGACATTTTGAATTGATTTTGCGGTTTGTCTTTTCAACAACAGGGACCTGTCCAGGAGTCGAACCCGAGACCTCTCGCAGCCAAGGCGAGAATCATGTACTATACCAACAGACCAGACACATATTTGTATTTGTTTGCCTCACCATTCAAGTACTTATTACCTTCATTATTTTATAAGCACAGAGATGAATGAATTAACAAAAACTCGCGCCTAACTGTACTTTTGACTGGCTAACATCTGCTACTGTATTGATGGTTTTTAATTTGCGCAAACGGCAGGAGCTCATATAAAAAAAGTCATCTACCAAACTCTCCACCAGTTCATAGAAGTAATAAGGCATAAAGCTTAACAAGTTTAACAAGATGCTAGTCAATGTGACTAAGCAAAAATTCAGCTTTAGAAATGAGTGTTTCGGCAGCGAAATCGAACCAGTCCTCATTCTGTTTCTATTTTCAATCCTAAAGCGTCGGAAGCCGCTATTGCCAAATCATGAACGGATGTTTTAGATTAATTCAAAATTGATATCTCCCAAAATATTCCTACGTTCGATACACCATTTAAAAACAATGAGCTCTATAAATTTGTCGGGCGCAGTTGCGTAAATCGATAAAAAATGGCGCTAACTGTTGCTCAGGCGAGCTCCCCATCGGTTAATATCAATGTTTTCAATTTCTGTCAAATGATAGGGGCTCTTGTCAAATTATCATTGAGAGAGAGGTATGTATAGGGGATAAGTTCTCTGAGTTCATATTCTCCTGAGGGCGTACACAAATAGAACTACTATTCGTGTTGCTCCTTGGGATTTTCGGTCTCCGGCCCACTTGCACTACACTAGAAACATATATTCAATACTAAACTTTCTTTTTTGTTTTTTCCAGCATTATACGCACCTGCGAATTTATTTTCGACACTTTTGAGAAAGGGAAAACTTCGGAAAGAAATTAAGTAAGTAAATTGAGTGAGTAGACAGCAAATACTACAACAGGAACAGTGGAACGGATTAGCCCATTCTTATGCTACACGCTTTTCGTGCATTTTGTCGTGGCAACCAAAGTCAGACAAGAAAAATAATAAACAATCTAGGGCCAGCATAGATAATTTTTGTTCGTCTTCAAGGTGATTATCCGTCAAACGTACTGCCTAGTATTAAAAAATCTGAAAGCAAATTGAATCGTCCCCAGGTGGGCTTGAACCACCAACCTTTCGGTTAACAGCCGAACGCGCTGACCGATTGCGCCACGGAGACGGTGCATATAACCTAACGTGTCAATTAAGCCGAACCCCACTTTGATGGCATAATAATAATAATAATAATTTACATTTCTAAAGCGCTAAAATTATAAAACATTATTAACTACAAATATTAAAATGATAAACGACAAAATATCAAAACAAACTGTAGGCCAGCTTGAATAGATGTGTCTTAAGCTTTGACTTAAAAATCGTTACACTTGGACTATTTCGAATTTCAAGCGGCAGTTCGTTCCACAAAAAAGGTCCAGAACGGGCGAAGGCACGATCACCAAAGGTCTTAAAGTTAGTTCTTGGGACCTTAAGGAGACCCTGATCGCAGGAACGTAGCTGATGACCCTTGACACTGTGTGGCTGCAGATATTCTTTTATGTATAGTGGGCCTTGGTTATTTAAAGCTTTATAAATTAAAAGTAACAACTTAAAATGGACGCGATAAGCCACAGGAAGCCAGTGAAGATTATATAAGGCGGACGAGATGTGGTGAAACTTGGGAATCCTAAAAATTAGTCGAGCAGCGGCGTT